GTCCCGCCCCGTCTCCCCCATGTCTGAGGTTGTACTGGCACCTGCCAGTTACTGCTGTAGGATGCTGAAGCTGCCTGAAATGTCCTGTGAAATGAGCTGTTGACTATTAGTTGCACCACAACCTGGATAAATGACAACCTTCCCAGAAGAAGAGGAATGTTGAACAGACTGTTCAACATTCCTATACAATATCTATATTCCTATACAATATCTGATGTTTTAGTGTTTAGGTTACAGAGATGTTAAAGGGAATGCTTAGTGATCATGTATTAAATATAATCAGGACAGTTTTTTTTTTTCTCATCGGATAACTATGCTCAAGTTCACATTTAAACATACTGTACAAGTAAATGAATCAGAGCAGTGACTCCTCTCCCTCCCTTCTTAGAATGTTTCAATTAGAGAGAGTCTGAAAGCAAACCTTTTCTGTCGTTCCCTCTCTTTAGAAAACCCATTGTGTTCTGTGAATTCAGTGTTATGGGTGTTCTCTTTAGTCTCTTAATGTACAAGGACGTCAGTACAAACCAGGCCTGGAGAAAATTGCTCTTAAGTGGAACTCCAGGCCATTTTTTTAAATAGCCTGGACAATGAAAAGCAGGGGTGGGCTTTATAAAAAGCAATGGAAATTAAGGGTGGGCTTTATGGATCCAGAGTCCCGATCAATCTGCCTTCTCCACAACACAGTAATGTTGTTCCACCCATTAGAAAATTGCTTCAAAGTGGAACTCCATACAACTTTTTTAAAAATTTTGGAATAGCCCAGAAATTGAAAAGCAGGGGTGGGCTTTATGAAAAGCAATGAAAAGCAGGGGTGGGCTTTATGAAAAGCAATGAAAAGCAGGGTGTGCTTTATGGAAATCATTGAAAAGCAGGCGTTGGCTTTATGAAAAGCTATGAAAAGCAAGGGTGGGCTTTATGAAAAGTAAGGGATTGCAGGGTAAGGCTTTATAAAAAGCAATGAATAGAAGGGGTGGGTTTTATGAAAAGCAATGGAAATCAGGGGTGGCCTTTATGAGAAGCAATGGAAAGCAGTTGTGGGCTTTATGAGAAGCAATGGAGAGCAGTGGTAGGCTTTAAAAAAGGCAATGAAAAGCAGGGGTGGGCTTTGTGAAAAGGAGAGGTGGGCGTTATGAAAAGCAATGAAAAGCAGGGGCGGGCTTTATGGAAAGCAAAGAAAAGCAGGGGAGGGCTTTATGAAATGGAGGGGTGGGCTTTATGAAAAGCAATAAAAAGCAGGGGTGGGGGTTATTAAAAACAAAGAAAAGCAGGGGTGGGCTTTATGGATCCAGATTCCTGATCAATCTGCCTTTAATCTTGCTGTACCAGGATGACAGTACAAACCTTGTCTAGAGTTCAGCTTTAAGAACATAGAGCTACCCATAGTCTTTTCTACAACATAGTGATCTTGTACCACAGGGGTAGCCAACCTCCGGCCCTCCAGCTGTGGTGGAACTACAAATCCCATAAGGCATTGCAAGATTCTCACAGCCACAGATATGATTCCCGTAAAGAGATGCATCATGGGATTTGTAGTTTCACCACAGCTGGAGGGCCGGAGTTTGGCTACCCCTGTTGTACCACCTATAAAAAAAATTGCTCTAAACTGGAACTCCAGACCATTTTTTTTTAGAAAAGCCTAGAACCTCTCAGGTCTTTTTTGCTGCCTGTGTTCCTTGACGCAGAAATTTCAGTAGGTGGCTGGGACAGGAAATGAGAGGAAATCTCCCCAACAGTAACACAGACAGCAAAACCTTCTCACTATTCTACATTAGAAATATTATGGCAGGTTTTGCCTGGAGATCCACTTTATGTAGGGAAAAAATGTGGTGCATTCATTACTTTAAAGTCATCAATATGGAACGGAAGCATCTTGGCATTAAACATCTTAAACCAATTTATAAACACAGACAACAATGTAAAGGATGGAACATCTTGAGATCATCAACATTTCATTTGTTTTTCTTAAATCAAAATGCTTCAAAAAATGGTTTATTTACAGTGTTTGATGTGAAGACGTTGCACACTTGATTGTGCCGCGCTCGTCTGATTTCCCTTGGGTGCTGTTTGTAAGTGGAACTATGTAACATGACTCATGTTGTTTAGAATCTTAGCCAACATTATGTAGCTGTTATTTGTGCCGCCGTCGACACATCAATCACTCCCTCCACCTCCCAAATAAATCACTTTGTAACTTTACGCTTAACATAATGTTCAGCATAAACACCACTTTCCCTCTCTTATCTAATAGAAGGCTGATAATAATAAACTGCACAAAAAAATATGTCAGCGGCAATAAAAAGGGGGAGGGGGGGAGGGTTTGTGATTTTGTCAAAAAGGAAAAATGAATGCCTGGCAACTGTAATATGTGTCAAAGCATCACTTACAATGAAGAAACTTCCAAGAAGAAAAGTTAGATGTTCTCAATTTGGATATATAGAACGGTGATCTCTACTTTGATATTTTTAAAGGGTATGTACTGTATCAGGGGTGTCCCTCAGAGACCTCTCTTCATATCAGAGTCCCCCCTTCTCATCAGAGGCCTCTCGTCACATCAGAGGCAAATCAGAGCCCCCTTCACATGAGTCACCCCTTCATATCAGATCCGGCCCTTTCACATCATAGCCCCCCACCCCTCACATCAGAGTTCCCCCCCTCACATCAGAGTGCCCCCTTCCAGGGGCGTCCCAAGGCTGGGTGTCACCCAGTCTCCAGACCGGATGACACGCCCGCCGTGCGCGGCCATCTGATTTACATCTGCCGGGGTCATCTTGGTAATGGAGGCCGGCAGAGAGAGAAGGGGATGTTGACCCGGCGGGATGAGGTATGCCGTTGGGTCCCCTCATCTCTCCTGACACTGTCGGGCTCTCAGTCAATGACTGAGTGCCCGACTTTTTAGAGGAGGTTGCACCAAAATGACTATCAGTCATTTTGGTGTCACCCCTCCAATGGTGTCAACAGGGTGCAAGCCGCAGGTGTCAACAGGGTGCAGGGTGCAGACCCCCCTTGTGACACCACTGTACTGTATACCTTATGTATTTGTATATTGAATTTCCATGAGTTCTCTCCCCCTCCTAACAGCCATATCCAACTAGACGTTTGTAAACTTACATATTGAAGATGCCCATAGGATGGACTTCCTCAATGCACTGACAACATTTCACTCAGCCCTGTAAATATGCACTTTCTCGTGTCATCACTCTCTCACAGTCTGCCTCCTGACTTATAATTCAACGCCTGAACAATGTGACATTATCATTGCTTACTGGAAGCAATGCATGGTGGGATATACAGTCTTGAGAAATGGAGATTGCATCACATCAAGCAGCAGGGAAAGAGATGCAAAGCACACCGTGAATCCAGGACATTGTTGGAAGTGATGGGCAGATGGAAGGCAGCACTCACTACATAAAAGTAAGCTTTGATTTGAGGATATGCTGGGACGTTACAACTCCTTTAACTGGACAATAAAGCAGAGGATGGCTTTAATGACTCTACATCGAGCAGCACAGTTGCTTAGTGGTTAGCACTTCTGCCTAACGGCACTGGGGTCCATGGTTTGCATTCCTGCCAGGACACTGCATGGAGTTTGCATGTTCTCCCTGTGCTTGTGTGGGTTTAGTCCCGTTTCCTCCCACACTCCAAAGATATGCTGGTAGGTTTATATGCTCCTGTCTAAAGTCTATCTATAATGTTCCAATGCATGCCTTGTAGGATTCAAATATATTACCTGGTCACCTTTCTCTCCTTTTGATGCAAAACTTCTGCTCTGTGGGGGGAAAAAAATACATATTTAACATATTTGTATTTCTTATAAGTCCTGTAAGTGTGTCTCTAGTGTATGTATTTGGGAGTAGAGAGTAAAGTGTTTTTTATTACTGGCTGTCACACCCTTCGAATTGCTTGTGATGACTGTTGTCACCAGGATTGAAAGTAATGACAAATTAAAAATGTTATAGTTCGCGCTAGAATAAGAGAGAAGGGAAAACCTTCCAAACTGGACACCCGTTGCAGTGCCAACTGTCTAAGATTGGATTTTTCCTCAGTTTGGAGAGATTCCTCCTTACTTTCTGGGTGTTTTTGGGATAGGAAGTGAAGGGAAATCTTCGCAATAGACACAAACATCATAAAAGGGACTGTTCCCAACCCTATTCAAAAGAACATTTAGCTATAAATACATGTTAAGCCCATTCCATCACAACCTGTCCGTTTATACTTGACCATTGTACACAAGAAATTGTTGAGCGCGTTTCACTCCGAGTGAAAGAGTTATCCCTGGAGGACTCTGCTCTGGTCTACACTAAGAGCTAAGGGCTGCGTAAATTGGTGCTGCCACCGAACAACCAAACAGTGGGTGGTCATGGAGGAGGAGGATACCAGTCCAGCCTTAGCTGGCCTGCCCTGGCTCTCAACGCCCGTCATCCTCCGTGCGTTCCCACCCTACCATTGCGCCCACAATTTTGTTATCCAGATCGCTTTTTCACTCTACGGACATCTCCCCCTTCCCCTCGCCTATGACCCCAGTGATTGGTGACCCAGACTTCTCGCCCGGAGTCCACGACCCCCGATTCCGCCGCCTCCGTGAAGCCAACAGGTACCGCATATACGACCTACACCCATCTGGCCAGTGGTTGCGAGTTGATGAAATTGCCAACCTGACTGACCCCCCATTGGACCGATGGGGCTCACTCCAACTGCGGCACTTCCTGCTCTCGATTCCCAATCATCAACGGCTCTCCAGGCCCCTTACCCCATTTGAGAAGGTTTGCAAGGAGGAGATGCCCACCCGTCATGCGATCTCCCTGCTATACTCCATGCTGATATCCCCCCCTCCAGAGTCTTACCCAACATTTCTGGCCAAATGGGAAAGCGACTTACACACCACCTTTACACCGGCTCAAAAGGACCGTATCCTACATTTAGCACATCACTCCTCCATTGCATCCAAGACCCAAGAGCTGGGATATAAAATAGTATCTAGGTGGTACCGAGTCCCAAAAGCTCTCCACGTAATGTATCCTCGAGTTCCACCTATATGCTGGAGATGTCAGAGTACCCCGGGCACGCTACTACATACATTCTGGTCCTGCCCTCTCTTACTCACGTTCTGGCGGGGGTTGATTGCCACCATGAGGGACCTGGTGATGGTGGACTTGACGGACAACCCCGCAGCATGTCTGCTACACCTGAATGACATGTCCATGGGGAAATACAAAAAATCATTATCCCGACACCTCCTGAATGCCGCCCGTCTATGTATCCCACTGCTGTGGAAACCGCCTAGTTGTCCCTCCCTCAGTCTGTGGCTCGTTAAGGTTAATGAGATATATGTGATGGAGAACCTGACCTCTACGCTCCAGAACACTGAGGAATCTTTTCGGGATACTTGGAGACCCTGGGCCTCTTTTCAGGACACATATGCCTACCGCCAGGCCATGATCACAACACCCTCCTAAGTCCGAGCTGGGACTGGAATGGAATGCTACTCTCTGGACCCATAACCTTGCTGCTCCTTACCCCCCTAGCTCTCCTCCCTCTGGCTTTCTCCCCCTTATCTAACCCTATCTACCTCTCATCTCCACCCTGACCCACACCCCCCACCCTAGTCTATCCCCGTTAATACCATGCATAAGGAAACCATTGATATATGTGTTTCGGAGTGACAGAAACTGTCAACCAATCTGAGTTTGCTTACCAAGGGCGATTGTCCCAATGCCTATGGGCGCGTAAGGCCGATACCACACCGATACCCTAATACCTGATCTCTGACTGTATTGAACATACTGTCTGTTGTTTTCCGCTTACTATTTAATTGTGATACATAAGGTCATCAAGGCCATATAACGTCTGCTATGCTGAGCTGGTTAGCCCTCTCATGTTCTCATTACATGCAACGTGACGATTGTACCTCCCTACCCCGGATGTGTATTGCAGACACTGTTATGTTGTTGAGACACTGTCTCCTTATGTCATTGTATCTTTTCTGTGTATAATAAATCTGATTCTTGATTTAAAAAAAAAAAAAAGGGCTGCGTAAAGGCTGAGTCCTTATATACATAGTATTTGAGGTTGAATAAAGACATTAGTCCATCAAGTCCAACCTATTAGGATCTCATTCTAGGAGTACCTGTACCCCTGTATATTACGGTCCCTTAAAACCGTAATATACAGGGGTATGACTTATATGACAGTGAGGCCTATGCCATACCCTGAAGTCCCATTAACAGGGGAAACGGGAACAGTGCAGCAGACAACTCCCTGGCAGAACTGCTTGAAAAAAAGAAATCTGGGCAAATGAACAATATCCCCCAGCCTATATCGCAAATATACCACAAAGGGGCAAGGTAGGACAGAACAAAACTATTAGATTGTAATAAATATAATC